AGAAATACAAATGGAATTTGGGTTTGATGAAACTTTGGCGAAAGCTCCTTCTTTTGAATAGAAGTTTAGTGATATACAGCGCTCCCTTGTTTTTTGTGCGGTTCAAAAGCTGTTTTTTTTCATATGAAAAGTCAGCTATCATTTAGTCAAATGGGTGTTAGTGTCGTCAACTCGGTGAGGAAAAGCGCTATTTTCTTTTTGCTCGCGAATAATCTAAGGATGTCCGTAGTTAAAATGAGAGAAATAGAAAGATTAATGTTTTTTTATACTCTTATGTATTCGTTATTAAAAGCAGAATTTAGAGTTGATAATTTTTAAATGCTTCTCCAGTAATTAATTGATTGCGTTTTAATGCATCCATGTAAATATTAAGTGCTTGTAATAACAACTGTCGACGTTTCGAATTAAATTTTGGTAAATTTAATGCCTGAGCAATGGAATACCATTGAACAGAACGTAATTCGTGTGTATTATACTGAAACCGGTATTCATAACTTGCTCGTGTAACAGCAGCAGCAAAATAACAATCGTTACCTTCATCAAATACATGTCGTGGTATTACAAATACTAAATCATTCACAGTTAAACCTGTTTCTTCTTTTGTTTCCCGTAGAGCTCCTCGTCGTCGTCCTTCACCACCATCAATCATACCTTTCGGAAAACCATGATCATACCGACCATAGTTGGCTTCAACAAGACAAACTTGAAGGCCGTCACGTGAAAAAATAATTAAACCGGCAGCAATACATTTTTCTTTTCGAAATTGTGTTGAATAAACAATGGAGTTTGAATTTTTTGCATTGACAGGACGAATTGATTGCCATTGTTGATTTCCATATGTTGGTGACATCATATTGGCTTGAATGAGACCATCATCAACATCATCGAATGTCAATGGGACACCATCTAAACAATTAATATTTTTCTTCTGTAATACCCTGTTTCTTTGGTGTAAAGATGAACGAGACCGGGGCGGGGACCAGTTCTTTTTAACTGGTCCGAGTAAAAAGTTTTCTTCTGAAAAGAACTGGATTTTTGCTCGGAAAATCGGTTTGATATTTAAACAAATTTCGTTTCTTCGGAAAATATTTAGCTAACGTTTTCTTTTAACTTCGGATGAGTTCTTTTTTCTATTATTGACTAAATCCATCAAAGAAAATGGAACAAATACTGTCTGACTTGGTGCTGACAAGGTTCTAGTCGAAGAAAAGACTTGGTCAAATGCACAATGCTGAAAAGACACAAGATTTTTTTGAAAACTCTACGAGATTTGAAGAAGCCTTTTTTAGTTTTCCACGTTTCTAGTGCTCGTCTAATTCGACCAACAGCACCCAGCAAGTAAAGAGCTGTGCAAAACCGCGCGCCCCTAAAAGAACTTCCTAGAACCGCGAACACCAATCAATTTTTACACGGTTGGGATCAAAATTTTGTTTTCACAGGATCGAAACACGGACCAAAATGAAAGATCTCGCTCACCCTTACTTTGGTGGTCACAATAAAACTCTCATACCTTTTGTTCTCTTAAGTTGTCGTATACTGGTAGTAGTAGCATTTGAAACTACTATCTGATTTGCTATAGCAAATGTTAAGCAAACGATGACAAAATGTACAGATGATGATGATGATGATGCTGATGATGACATCGTTGAAAAAAGAATGCAATAAGAGTATATTTTCGGCGTTATTTTATTACAAGCGCAATTTTTAAAATTTGTATGTGTTATGACACATGAGAATATATCTTTTTTTAATTGCTTTTTCCTTTTATCTTGAAATAAAGCCGAATGTTAATTGTTTTCGAAAAGAAAACAAAAAAACGAATAGTCCCACTCATCCCTACGCCAAAGAAATAGGTCATTGAGAGGAAAAATATTAATTATTTAGATGATATCTCATTGACATTCGATGATATTGACGATCGCCTTATTGAAGCCGATATCATGCAGAAACTAACAGCATATTCGTAACGGCAATCGAATTCTTTCGGGTTATTCTTTGGAGGATGTATCAGACTTTATATCAGCTTTCTGCAAGAAATAGAGGACTTTCAGAACTAGTAGAACTGATCACGGTGATCACAAAACTCATCTTAAAAACTTTTCAAAATGACTGCATGAAGTTCTCCGGGCGAGGCCCGCGAAACTCTTTCCGGCAAAATTATTTTTGTCATACCTTTGCCATTTCAAAGGAAGAAAGTTCAAACTGGTTTTATAAATACTACTATCGATTTGAATATCTTTTCCAGTAAAAAGATTTTTCCATAGTGTTTTGATTTTTTAAGAAAGATTGTAGAAAAAACACGAGTTTTGGCGTTTTTCCCATTCAAATATCTCTATGAAGACAAGATGAAAACTTAACATTATTGTATGATTTAGAATTCCCAATCTCTTATCGCTCTAATGGTGGAAATCCCGGAACTTCTGCTGTTTTCTAGACTGAATAGTAGAGCAAACACTGATCACTAGTTTTCAATTTTCACCAACTTCCGCTCCCTTCCCCTGGCCCCACAGTAAATTCTACAAACTGTCCCCATACCCAGTGTAATTTTAGGAAGCGTAATATAGTCAGAAAGGAGTTTAATTAACTAAGTATAGAAATATGGCATAAACTATTTTGATCTAAAACTAATCAACATTTTTTTACTTTCATACTAATCAGTGGAGCAAGCAATCAAAGCCCATTCAAATGATGTATAATTTAAGTTATGAAACCTTTTTTGCAAAAATAATAAATTAGAAAACTTCCAAGGATGAAATGTCATAAGAAATAAGCTAGCTGCTCTTGCGGAAGAAGCACCCGCTTCTCCATTGACTGCAGCTAGCTAAAAGAGTAAAATTTAGCGGGTGTAGCTAGCTGCAGTGGGACAAACTCGTTACAATTTCAGTACTAGTTGCAGCGAACATATATATATAGAATAAAAACACTGAAGGAAAAAAACAGAAAACGAAAAGGCAGAACTTCCTGCACAGATTCGAACTCCGTATATAGAGATTAATAATCTTCTCCATGCGCCACTATATCACAGAAATAGACAACTATAAAGATATATTTTCGTTCTGTTCTGATGAACTAGTGAATTGCACTTCAAGAATTTTAATTAGATTTAGTGTAATTAGAACTATACACCGTGAAGAAAGCATTTCTCAGAGCTAAACCTACAGACAATAGTACATAAAATTTAATTTCCAACGCTTTTTCCTCGTGGTACAACGCTCAAAAACGCTTTCTTTATACTAAAAGCCAAAAATAATATAAACTATTGCATTTTTATCCTGAAGAAAGCTTTCCCTAACGTTGTGACAAGAAGAAAAATATTAGAAATTAAATTTTACATAGTATTGTCTCTAGGTTTAACTCTGAGAAATGCTTCATTCATGGTAAACCAACTTACTGTATGCGCTTTCCAACTAACTTCAACTAGTTAGAAATCGTATTAGTCAATTCATTACTAGCTGAAACGGCCGCTATAGCGCTCGTTCCATGGTGTCTACATTTATACAGGTAGTTGTAACGGGTATGGAAACTAGTGTAACTAGCCGCAGCGCCCGCCAACCCGCTTCAATAGTTTTACATTTTTTTATAGCTAGTTGCAGCGGGTTATGAAGCTAGTGTAGCTAACTGCAGCAGAGGCTACTAGCGTATTTTTTCATGCTTGAGCTTGTTCCTATAGGTAATAAATGATATGAACTTTTGAATTGATTGTATTTCAGTCGATATGTGGTTTATGATCTAATTCTTTTAGAAAAAGATGTCTCACATGGGATTCAGACACTTTGATGGAAAAATATTAAGTTTCGGAAGAGGACCGATTTCATCGCGAATTGGCCGCCGTCCTTTGCGACATCTACTTTAGTTTATGATAGTTAAAAACTAACAGCTTCTTAGTACCATATATAGTCAAAATCCTTAGATTTTTAATGATGTAAAAACTTTTGTATGATCAAAGTAATAAAAATAATTAATAATATTTTAAAAAAGAAAATTGAAAAATTGAATTGACACTATAGAATTAGTTAAATCAACATAACAAAATAAATAAGGAATGAAAAACAAAATAATTTTCGAAATGCTACGTCAGAGAAATATTCAAGAAAATAGTTCTACATCAAAAGACTTAAGCAAACAGACAATCAATGATTATCTTTCAATTAAGACCATGAAGCTTACCCATCTATTTGTGTACTTTCATTAAACTTGTTCTCAAGATTTGTCAGCCAATTTTTTATAATTTCATCGAATTCAAAAAATGCAGCTAGATGACCTCCGTTAAGTATCTGAATTTCTGCATTAGGATAGCTTTCGACTAAATACGTTGACATTTCCATATGAGACATTTTATCTCCTCTGGTAGCTATAATTAATACTCTTCGTTTTGGTGATGATGGAAGTGTCTTTGGATCAAAACCCCATTCCGAATGTAAAACGTGTGGAATAGCATTGAATCCAGCCATTGTTTTAGAAATACTTAAACACATATTTCTTGACATCATTTCAATAACAAATCCGGATGGCTTATCTCTCTCTTCTTCCCATTTACGTAATTTGGCCTTTTCCTCGTCATCCATTTGATCAAACAATCTTCTTCGCATAAATTCCTTAGCATCTTCAATATTATGAATTTTCTTTTGAATATAAGATCCCATTAACTTTGTAATAGAAGGAAAATAAATAGCTGGCATACCGACCATAAAATAATTTGACCAACTCATTCCAGTTGTATATGTTTTATGACATTTGAATGAGGAAAAACCAGAGCAGACAATTAATGACTGAACGTTAATAACTTCAGGCATTATATCAGTTGATGTACCAAAACATATTTGAGCAAAAACAGTTCCATAGCTGCCACCTGCAACAGTAATTCTAAGATTTTTATTGTCATTTTTCTTAAAAGATGATAATAATTGATGAATATCATTGGGATAATTTAAAATTGGCTGATTTTCCGGCCATGGTGAGCTATTACCCCAGCCAGGAAGTGTAGGAGCAATAAAGTGATATCCAATTTCTTTGTAAAACTTTTTATCATTTGAGGAGTCACCAACACCAAATGCGCCATGAAAGAAGATCATAATTTTATCACTATTTACATCGCCTTGTTCGGTATATGCTAATTGACGACCATCGGAAAGTGAAACGTATTTTTCATTTGGCACTTGAAACTAAGATACAATGTTAGTAATCTTTTTGCATGCGTAGATAGTCCAGACGTTACTCTACTAAATTATGCAGGTCCCGGCTCTCCAGCTATCGTCGTTCGGACAGGGCTGGCTTTCCCCCGGCATGTGTCTATCTTCAAGCAGACATCTCTGGGAATCTCGAAATGCCATGGGATATAGGTAATCGACTACGCTGAGCATAGTGGTAACATTTGTTTTTGTGTAGAAATGAATATAACTTTCCCAGAGGCATTTTTGTGAGAAACCGGTTTTCCGCCTGTTACTAGCAAAAATTAAAATCCTTATATCGCGATCAAATCTCATGCTGACTCAACGAAATTTTCAGGAAACGCTCAGGACAGCTCATAAAGCATAATCGAAGACGAAAAAGGTGAATTTCAGCCGGGCATTGGTTTAAGGTTTTCCAGAAAC